TAGGGTGAATTGATAAAGGCAAAAGTTGCTTGGAAGGAATTTGTAATCTTTTGTTATTCAGTTGGTATGAGCACAGACAATTCATGGCACATTTTTAATATAAAAACATAACTCGCCACACTCCACAGGAAAAAAGTCTTGTGAAGTATTTATCTTTACTTTAAATTTGGGGCAGTTTACTTTGTTTTCTCTTTTCTGACATTTTTTAGAGGTGCTATGAGATCTCTTGATGCAACTGTACTCTTCACATCAAACACTGTTCATAACACTGTCAACGCCTTGTTGGGAAAGTACTTCAGTTGATATAGTTTTAAAACATTATACCATAAATAATTTCAGTCATTTTAAACAAGGGGACGTGTTAGCCCGGAGCATATTGCTTGCTTTCAGAAATTTAGTCTTAAAAGAGGTTTTTCTAACTGTATTTATTCAGCTGTATTCAAATTTTTTCTTTTTTCTAATTTTATTTGTTTTAGGACTGGATAACCTGCTTGATGAAAATAGAATATCAGATTTGACCCAGACGTACCAGCTGTTTAGCCGGGTAAAAGGTGGGCAGCAGATCCTTTTGCAACATTGGAGTGAATACATCAAGGTATTTCAAAGATAGCTTACTAATGTCAGTATTTATGCTGTTATCATATATTTATTTCATCAAAAACAAGAATAATATGTAGGCATATGCACCAAAACTCTGTTGTAAACAAATATAGGGAGAGAAGTTAATGCTTTCCCTCCCAATAACAGTCACACAATGAGAAACAGCAACACCTAAGTGTTGGTTTTAAATTTCTGCTTGGAAATTGCTTTCCTTGTAAGTCTGAACATTATACAAGAAGTCATTTTGGTTTACTTTGCTTTTAAATAGAGCCACCTGCACGTGTGTTTAGAGTATGCTGGATTGTACTACTCCTTGTGTTTTGCTACAAATACACTCAACTTGTTTATATGTCTGCAAAATCAGTGGAACATCAGAATGGACCTATTCTACTGCAGTTAACAGGGCTAGATGGAACCAACCTACAGCGATGCTGATGAGCGTTTAAGCTATTTTGGATGTAATACTCCCCTTGAAAGTAATCCATCATCAAAGTTGTGTTTAGACAATTCAGATTTGTTTTGCCAGGCATGTGTGTAGTAACCTGCCCCAGAGAACTTGCACTCTAGTGCTCTTGCAAGATGAAAGCAGGAAAGCTTCCCAGAAGATACTTCTCTCTGGGGCTGATGGTTCCCGATGGGCTAGTTCTCTCCTGAATTGCCCATGTGTTCCTCAGCCTTCAGGGCTAAGCGCACAACATCAGTTCATTTCGGAGGTGCCTTTCCTGCACACCTGTGTCTGGAGCTCTGCATGGTGCACCAGTGCACAGCCCATGCGAGTGGGACATGGTCTCTTCTCTGCCCCCAGAACCGAGGCAGAGTTTGCTCCGCAGGGTGTCATCCAGTGTCCACGTACGCAGTCCGTGGATCCATAGGCAGCTGGGCCAATTGAACAGCTTGCTGTGGCCAAGAAGGAATAATCTTTCTTCTTCCTTGCTCCCAGATCACACTGCTGACTTAGCCCTTGTGCTGCCTGCCACTCCATAGACTCTTTTGTGATCTGTTGTAACACAGCACCTGGGCAAGGTCGGTTTTATGCCAGGTTTAGTGAGCTAAAGAGGCTCACAGAAAAGTCCTGGTGCTGGCCCGAGGAAAGAAGCAGGAGTTCAGGACAGGCAGAAAAATAAGGGAAGGAGGACCAGAATCCCGCCTTTCACAGCAGCATGTTGTTAAGTTGGCTTATCATACCTTATGTCTTGCAGAATTGGACCTCCTATGGCTTTGTTTTGAAGAATTTTTTTACAGACTGAAAAAGCTAGAAACCATTTTCTATACTATCAGTAAATCTCCTCCTTTCAAATATTCTATCCTATATGACAGAATGCATTAAAGTGGGGCTTCAAGAACTTTTATCTGTGAGCCAGTGTAAGAAAAAGCATGGAGAGCACGCCACATTACTGGGGTGAAGGTCTGTGCTCTGCTGTGGTCACCTTTTTATGATTTCAGAGGTGCCACTTAGCTTTCTGTATCTCGGTTTGCCATTTGCAGAGTTGGGGGAATGCCCTGCAATTTGTGGATGTAACTGTTCAGACTGTGAGATATCCAAATGTGTTAATGAAGGGGAAATTGTACTAAGTGTAAGATATGATGGACTAGGTGATCTTCAGCAGTCCCTTCTAATCCAAACCATTTTGTGATTCTGTGATAAACATACTGAATCTAAGGTCCTTGGGCAGCCCTGTGTTTATCTTGCTTCCCTCCGAAATGTTACTTGAGAAAGATCTCAATGAAAGATCACAATAAATAATTAGATATTGCAGTGGAAATTCTGATTTGGGCAGCCCTGTGTTTATCTTGCTTCCCTCTGAAATGTTACTTGAGAAGGATCTCAATGAAAGATCACAGTGGATATTGCAGTGGAAATTCTGAGGTTTGGGAGGAATTTCCCCATCTCTCTTTGACTGTTGTTGTGGTTAACATACTTTAGTTGATGAAAACACACCAGTTGAATACTGTTCTGCTGTTACTGTGCGGATGTTCCTCTTTCTCACCCTGGAAAACTAGTCATTCTGTCTAGAGTGCTGATCAGTGTTACCAAGCAATTGTAAATTGCCTGAGAGGTTAAAATCCTCCCTTGCAGGATATTTTGGTTCACTGGACAAATGGTATTGTATCTCTGACTTAAAGATGATAAATGTAGGAACAGGAAAAAAAGTCAAATCTGTGGCTGCTTCTTGCAAATGGGAAAGTTTTGTTTTATTGCAAGTCAACTAGGGGTTTTTTTTGCTTTTAAGCCCTTGCTGAAAAGAGAAATCTTGGTGTCATGAGCAGCAGTTGAATTTTCGCCACCTGTTCCATCAATAGAGCTCTCTAGGGGATTTAAGGAAAACAGTGCAAAGTTTTCCATTACACTTAATATTTCTGAGGCAGTTTCCATATAATTTCTTTTACATGTATCATGTATTTCTATATCTAACTGTAAACTTGCACATCATACAGTCATCTACTGTGTATTTTTTTTTTTTTTAGCTTTTGTCTTAAATGTATATAAACTTTAAATCAAACACTAATGTTTGAAATCCATTAATGTGTGTCTGGGTTTTTATTTTAAATTTCAATGCATCTCATTTTTTTGAAAACTTGAAGTCACATGAGTAGCTCTGTAAAAAAGAAATGTGAATGTGTCTGTTGGGGGAGATAGGTAGCGCTCTGAAGTATTTTATTATCAAAAGTGTTTGTTTTACAGAACTTTGGGACAACAATAGTGGTTAATCCTGAAAAGGACAAGGATATGGTGCAAGAGCTACTAGATTTTAAGGATAAAGTGGACCATATCATAGAAGTGTGCTTTCAGAAAAATGAAAAATTTATAAACTTGATGAAGGAGTCCTTTGAAACATTTATCAACAAGAGACCAAATAAGCCTGCAGAATTGATAGGTACACAAATATTTTTCTGTAAAATATTTCAAAAATCTATAGAAAGCATGATAAGATAATGCTGCTGAATGTGCTAGTGCAATAGTGATGCAGTACGCATTCTGCTTTAGGAGACTTGTTTTTGGGCTACAAGGCAAAACTTAACCCGGGAGTGTTGTGGGTGTGGAAAGCTTGGGTGTGCTGTTAGGCGCGCGCGCAGCGTCCTGACGCAGCCTGCCAACCTCTGCTGTCCCTGCGCTCTGCTTCCTGCACGGTGCCTGGTGCTAACCACTGCTCAGAGAGCGTAATGCAGGTGCTGAGAGTAGAGTAAATGGCTAGGGGAAAGAGCAGCTGTGGCCAAAAAAAGGGAGCTGGTTTTAATTGTGGTAGTAGAGGAGCTCTTTGGATCTTACAGATCTCTCGGAAAGGAGCAAGTACCGCCCATCTGCCTAGAAGGCTGAAGTTGGGAGAACAATCTTAAAGCCTTCAGATAGACGAGTTTTAATAGAGGAAGAAAATGACATTACCTTGAAGGGGGAACTAGTGCTTATTAAGAGGAGAAATAATAAAAACATCTTAAAAATACTGTTACTGGGCTTATCCCTGGTCTGGCAAAAGCTGTTCTAACTGTTTTTCCTGCAGCCACTGGAGCTGTGGCATTTTACACCAGGAGAGGATCCCAATCCTAGGTTGTGGGGTTTTTTTCCCCTCTGTATGCTCTTTTACCTTCATTCAGCTTATTTTGTGGCTTCCTTCTAAAACCAGCTTTATGTAGGACAAATTGGACAACGTAGTGATGCAGGTTAAAGCCATGATATGGGCTGCTGTATTTTGTGGATTGTGGTGTTTCAACTCCTTCTTATGCAGAAGGTTGTATAAGGATACTAATATAGCTTAATAAATACTTAGTTAAACTCATGGCTTAACCTTATTTCTGGCATTCTGAAGCTACTAACTTGAGAGCATTGCTTCTGTTTGAATTTTGGTGTGTTCCTACCAAGGAAGCATGAGGGACGTGGTATAAGGTTGACAAAGTCCTCTTTGTGTTGTTTGTTTCTGTTTCTCATAAAATACATTCATGTGCATTGTACCCTTCCAAAACGTTGTATTTCAACAAGTAATGTGCTTGCAATGTCTGTAACACAAAATGTGGGAATTTCTAATGCATTAATTTTAATGTTGATACCGTTGGGTTTTATTTGTCTGTTTGTTTTTTTGTTTTTTTTTCCTCAGACAGTTCCTTTTTGTGATATTTTTCCATTATGGCAGTAGTACAGTAGGGCTCTATCATTCCATTGAGCATAGGGATGGGAAAAGGAAAAATAGAAGATTTAGTACTTATCCTTTATTTTAACTTATAGTCATATTTCAAGTGGGAGATGCTTTAAGTTGTTTATTTTAGATTATTAGGTTTTTTAAAACTGTTAAACTGTTTTATTTACTTGTAGCAAAATATGTGGATTCCAAGTTAAGAGCTGGTAATAAAGAAGCAACAGATGAAGAGCTGGAAAGAATCCTTGACAAAATTATGATCATATTTAGATTCATTCATGGTAAGAAATACCAGTTCACGGTTGATGCAATTAAAACTGTTTTCCTTGCTACTAGCAGAACTGCATTCCTCTAAATGTAAGAAACCTTTTTTTAGAATGAATTTTGCTTGACTTGGTCTAAAATTCAGGTTGCTTTACATCTGAAGGAGCACAATAAACACACCAGGGAGGACAAACTTGCTCTATGGAGACTGGCAAGTTACAGACCTTTTACAGTCTGTGAGTGGAGACCTAAGAGTTAGAGCTGTTGGTGGAAGTTTTTTTTCACATAAATTAACCACAACCTCTTCTCTAATGACAGAGAACAGAAAGGTTAGTACAGGTTTTCTCTTCCCTGCCCACCTCAGTGCATCATAGGTGCAAAGTACAGGAAAGCCTAGCAACTAATGACTTGGTTCTTCTCATTGTGGCTGAGAATGGGCACAGATTGCTCAAAATGATAGGAGAAAATGTTACTGCTGTGTTTTACTGCCTTTGAAATGCACTTCCCTAATGTACATCCCTATCTGAGCAAAACCATTGGATGTGTTAGGAGAAACTTTTTTTGCTAGGTTGAATATCAGAAAAAAGATGTGGTTGAGTCCAACAGAGATGCATGGTCAGTGTTTTCAGGGAAGTGGGACACATATGCTGGGTTGGGTGGAATAAGCAGGAAGTACCCAATTCTGTATTAGTTTGTTCTGAGATCTGTGGGGTTCTTTCCTCATAAAATTCAAAACAAGTACAATATAATGGGAAAGGAGCCAAGAAACCAGTCCTGAAGTAATGTCATTTGCATTGCCATTTTTGTCTGAAACCTTGACCAACTCTTTTTCTCTTAATATTTTTTGTAGTACTGAGCTAAAAGTGCAAGTTTATTTTTGAGATATCTAGTTTTATAAGAGTCCTTTTAAGAGCAGATGATAATTAGTAGTTAGTTTCTGGGCATTTGACATCAAGATACCCAATAGTATCTTGATGGTGTGTCATGAAACAGCACATGACCAGAGAGAAGGGTGGAGAGGACCAGAGATACTGCTGCAGATGCATTGGAAGGCATTTGCAAGGAATTAGGAGGGGCTACTGTAGACAGCACAAAGAGTAGATTTCTTAAAAGTGAAACAACTTGCTGATATCTTTGCACTATCAATAGAAAAGGTTTGTGGAAGCTCTGGTTTAAGGTGTGAAAGTTTGTGGGTGCCTGTATGACTTCCTTATTTCAAAAGGCTATTGGCAAACCATGTGAGAAGACTTCTGTCACTTCTTCTTCGCCTTAGGTTTTTCAAGGTTATTTCTTTAATACCTAGGAACTACTTTTTCTTTTTTTTTCTTTTTTTCTTTTTTTTTTTTTTTTTTAATTTTAATAAATCAACCCATTGGAAGGAGAATGTTCTTCTGGACCCCAGAATAATTTCATGTGGTTTGCAGCTGATCCAGTGGGAAATACAAGGCAGCCTATGTTCCTTCTTGGGGGGGGGGGGGGGGGTGTTGGGGGAGGAAGAAAAGAGAAAAAAAAGTAAAAATTTTGCAAAATATGTTAACAAAATAATTCACATATAAAAAGAACTAGTTGTCTACATGGTGTTCTTTGCTGTTGCATAGAGAATACTGTTCTGCTGACCAACACATAATGAGAAAGGCTTGCCACAAATCTAAAGTGCAGTGATGCAAATAGAATGTATGATTTCATTTGTATTTTATTTTTGTTTCCATTTCCATACAGGTAAAGATGTGTTTGAGGCATTTTATAAGAAAGACTTGGCCAAAAGACTGCTGGTTGGAAAAAGTGCATCAGTAGATGCTGAGAAGTCCATGTTGTCAAAGCTTAAACATGGTAGGCATCTTCAGATAGCTTAAATTTTTATTACTTTTTGGCATGTAAATTGGAATCCTTGTTTTCTCATACTTAAAATCTGGCTTTTTATTTCTTAAAGCAAGAGCTGAGTATATCACAACTTCCACTGTACTCAGCGAGAACTATTTGGCTGACCTTTTAGATATGTGACTGATCCATTTAATGTACCTACAGAGGAGCAAAATCCTTAAAATATGTACCTAGTTGTGGGTGCTCTGGACCCGGGCAAACCTGGCTCAGCTGTCCCAGGTGAAACCTTTGTTGCTTGTGCTGTACTTCTTCGTAATTGTGGGATCTTTGCTTTAATTCATGTGACAGAATGTGGCGCTGCTTTTACCAGCAAACTGGAGGGCATGTTCAAGGACATGGAACTGTCAAAAGACGTCATGGTTCAGTTTAAGCAGGTACATTTAGCTTCTCTTTGTGTACTAAGTTTTCGAGAGTGATGGGGAAGTACTTAATGGTGTTAGACCTTGGATTAAGCTAAAATGAAAAAAACCAGCTTTTGAGCAGGTCTAGGTCATAGTAACAGTTTACTTACAGTTTATAGAACAGAATTTATTTATTGTATATATATATATTTATATTCAGAGGTAATCTTATTTTACAGTTTTATTTGATTACTTTTTAAGTAAATTGCAGTCTAAATACCACATAGTAATGTAGTTGTCTGGCGTCCTTTAAAGTCCATACCCCTTCATTCTGTAAACTGTTGCTGCTCTGATGAATTCGTTGTGAATGACCCACAGTAGAGAAACTCTCTGAAGGTTGCTGAGTGCACAGAAAACATGTAGGTCTCAGCCCCAAAGCTTCCAACCTATTGGTGACCAAGGGAATGCTTGGAGGGAGGAAGTATCGTGTATGTTCGCCCTGTTACTGCACTTCTCCCTGGGTGCCTGTGTTGGGGCCTTTTTGAGGACAGGATACTGGGGTACAGATCTGACCCAGGACACCTGCTCCTGTAATAAAATACTCGAGGGGACTTTTCTGTCCTAGACTTTGCAGCCTGGCTTGACTGATGCTGTGCTCAAATTATGAGAAAATGTGGTGTTTATCAGATGTGTGGAAGTCCCAGGGGATCCTTTTGATCTTATAGTTCTTGCCCTGGCTTCTGATCAAAAGCTTTTCTTTTGCTTTATTTGTGTCTGACTGAAGTTAGTTTGACCTTAATATGCTGTAAAGACAGTTGTCTAGGAAACTTCAAGGCATGTACTTTTATTTTTACTCCCAACCACTTGCCATGTTTTGAAACTGTGGATGTGAGCAATAAATAGTAATGAAATTCAAAATCTTGGTACAGCATGTCTAACCAAGGATGTGGCCTGTAGAAATTTTTCATTATTCTACCAACTTTAAATTTCTAATTTAAGTATATATTTTTTTTCTATTTTAGCATGCTAACAGTACACTTTAATGATTTTTTTTTTTTTTTTTTGTCTCTTGTATTTTAGTATATGCAGAACCAAAGTGACCCAGGAAATATAGACCTGACAGTGAATATATTAACTATGGGGTATTGGCCAACTTATACCCCTATGGAAGTCCACTTAAATTCAGAGGTTAGTGTTTTAATTCTCCTTCTAAATGCACTTTATGGAGTGAAATCGTAATCACTATCATAGGGTGAATGAATGCCTTCATTTAATGTTTATTCTGCTAGGTAATTAAGAGGTTTGTCTCATTTTAAAGATTGTAAAATTGCTCTTTTTTGCAGTGATTGTTTGACTTAATATGTTTTTTCACCTTTTGAATAGTAATAATAATAATCTAAAATTAATATTAAAATCAGTGTTCTATTTAACATTGCAGTCAAGCACTTAAAAGTTTAAAACTGGACAGTTCACCTTAATTTAATCAATCTAACTACGTTGGTTAGGCATTTTGATCTAGCCAATAGTTTGTTACTGCACCATCTTTTTTTCTGTAAGATCCTTCCTCTGTTCCCTGCAATGTGTCTCATAAAACTAGCCCCTGCCTTTAAATGGCAATTGCCTGAAAAAAGATTGCTTCAAAGTTGAAATATTTTTGCAAAGCTCCTATCAGGTAGCAATTTAAGTTGATATATGTATTTGGAGTCCTATTTCCTGCAATACCTTGCTTGATCTGAAATGTGGGAAGCACTTCAGAGGGCAAAGTTGGTAGCAGGGTTCTCATTCAGTTCAGAACATGTGGAAGCCTCTGTGCTCTTGTTTCCGTGGCATCTTTTCCTCAGTAACAGACTACTTTGGAAGTATCCAACTGAGCAACATGTCCTGAAAATGGAAGGGTAAAAACCCCTTACTTGGAAATAAGTGAGTATAAAATATTGGAATCAGACTTGAATCTGTAGAGGACCAGCTCTGCTTTTTGTCCTGTGGTTTCTTGGTCAGATTCAAAGTCCAGGACAAAACCTGTGTTTATTTTTGAGGTTTAAAACCCTTAAAGGGGGCTTCTTTTATTTAAAACAAACAAACAAACAGACAAAAAAAAAAAAAGGAAGGGAGAGGAAATTAAAAGCTATCCTTGAACTGAGGCTTTCCTTTGTGCGTAATAGTACTGGTATACTTGAGAGCAGAATTTTGCTTTTTGGATTTAGATTTTCACAGAAAAACACCGACTATGAAACATTGTTGAGGACAACCAAAGAAATTACATGTGTGAAATCATCTGGCATCACTGCACTGGTATAAGACTAATAAACTTTTTTCTGTCTTTGCTTTACAGATGATAAAGCTTCAAGAGGTATTTAAAACCTTTTACCTGGGAAAGCACAGTGGTCGAAAGCTTCAGTGGCAGACCACTTTAGGGCATGCTGTCCTGAAAGCAGAATTTAAGGAGGTAAGTTTGCTTGCTTAATGCTTAGCCTGTTGGGATAAAATTCAAGTCAATTATTCAGAATCTAGTCATGTATTGTACCTTTATAAAGGTAGTAACATTTTTGTGGAGAAACAGTCACAATTCAATACAGTTATTTTGTACAGAAAGTAGGCTTTTTATAATTAAACAGAAATACTACCTAGCTAATGGCAGACAGCAATGTGATGCCTTTTGATAACATTTGTATTTGTTTGATAGGAATTGTTGCTCATTCAAGTAAACTAAGTTGTAATAAAGTAGGAAATTAATGAAAGGAAAAAAATGCAGCGTCTTTTTATTTTTAATATGGAATTGTTTTGATTGTGGTAATACTGGTGAGACTCTTAGAATGCTTCACTGATGCAAAAAGAGACTGAAGAGTGTTAGTGATGTAATGACTGTGGTTAAAATTTAAATACTTGTTGAATTATTTAGGTCTTAAATAACCACATTGTTTCTTAATTGTTTCTTAATGTGGTTTTGTTTTGTCTCATGGAATATCTTGCTAATAATGCAGCAAAGACTTAAAAAAAAATAAAAATTAATTCTTTTACTAACTCCTTGTGAATATGAAACTTGGAGGTTTAGGCATTAGGTAACTGAGGTGGATAGCTTTGTAGTTGTCGATTGACAGAAGTGTTTGCAGCTGTCTGAAGAGTTTCAGTTATTTATTTCCTTTTCATTGCCTGTTTGTACAAACATTCTGCTACCAATAATACCGTTACTCTGTATCACAGTAAAGCACAATTATCTTTTGTTTCTTTCATATATACAATATGATGAAATATGATACAATGCCAGGAATACTTTTGTGTTAGTTTGCTCATCTCTGTAAAGTGAAACTTGGGTGAAGTATGAAGAGATTCGCTACTGATAGCAGCAAAGCCAGAGTTTGATATATTGTAATTAAAATGAAGTAAACGATGTGAACTAAATACGTGCCTATTCTAATGAGCTTCTGCTGTGTGCTGCATTGCTACTGTTAGAGGAGCAAAAAAGAGGTTTTAAAAATACACAGTTTCTTTGATACTGCATTCAGGCAGATTCTTCTGTGTGGTAGGCATTCTAAAATGCACATCTCTTCCAGAAATAGAGAAAAGAATGTATAGCTTCTGTAACTTGTCAGATTTGGGGGATACAATAGAAAATGCTCTGAATATTACTTATAATTACTTGATATTTCTTTTTTTTTTTAGAAAGAATTTCAAGTGTCACTCTTTCAGACATTAGTGTTGCTTATGTTTAATGAAGGAGACGAATTCAGTTTTGAAGAAATTAAAATGGCCACTGGTGTAGGTAGGAAGAATACTTTTTGTTTCTTAAATTTATTCATCAAGTGATTGCCAATTATAATTCGGTACGTAAAGGCTTAGTTTTAAGAAATTTGCCATGATCATTAGAACAAACTTTATGAGCCAGTAGTATATAGACACCAAGAGATGAGGAAAACACACTGCTGGTACTTTGTAGTGGAGATAAGAGATGCTTCACAAAAGTAATAGTAAGAGCTGTGTAGCACATTGTACTACTAATAACCTATTAGACTTACAAAATGTATCATTGTAATTCTTAAAATTCAAGTGGTGATAAAGACTATTGTGTGTACAGATTATTTTTGTTCTATTACAGTTTCAAATATATTTTGAAAATGATCGGTTGTAGAATGCTGTCATTTGGGGGTGATCCAAGGGTATTATCAGTTGAGCTGTGCTGAGAGCTTGCCCACCCATATTCCATTACTGCTGCAAAAATGCCCCATTTACAGGAGATCTGGTTTGTTAAGAAGAACAGTGTCCTCTAGGGACTGTGTACTTTGTAGATATCTCCCTCTGCACTTGAAACCTGAAGGCAGAAAAGACAAAGAAATCTGGGGGAAAGTATAGTTTTCTTTTTAACCAACTGCAGTATCTACCTTCTATGCTCTTCTGCTCTTGGGTGATTTCTTTCCAACTGTTACACTTCCTTGAAATAGTTGCAGCCATTGGCATTAAAAAGGACAACACTATCTCTTTACTTTCTGGAACTTCTGCATCAGTTTACTAAAGTACTGTAAAATGGGGCTATCAAGAATCCCTGTGGCAGAAAGATGCGCTGCAGAAGGCAGTGCAACCTGGGTGCTCCAACTTCTCAGCCTCGAAGCTTCAGGTTGCTTAGTCATCCACTCCATTAGTGCTAAGGGAGCTGAAGAACACTCATGCCAATGTGAATGATAAGCATCAGAGTAGTCCAGAGAGGCTCATTAGATTGGAGTACAATGGTTACAAAACAAACATAAGTTCATGCAAGCCTGATACAGATCCTGCTTTCTCATCTTGTATTGCTGTATGTCAGAGCTTCCATTCTGACTGCCTGACAGCGACAGGTAAAATCTACTGTGTGGAAATCCTTCATTATAGCACATTAGGAAGGATTTCAGTAGACTGTTTCTAATGCAGCTGGATAGAACCGATTGATAGTTGGGAGCTATCTATATTATGTTACGTCATTGCACTGAGCGCCACGTCTGTGTTTCTCTCCCCTGTGGGGAATCATCCCCTTGTATTTGGCACTGGTGAGGCCGCACCTTGAGTACTGTGTTCAGTTTTGGGCCCCTCACTACAGGAAAGATGTTGAGGTGCTGGAGCGTGTCCAGAGAAGGGCAGCGAAACTGGTGAAGGGTCTGGAGAACAAGTCTTACGAGGAGTGGCTGAGGGAACTGGGGTTGTTTAGTCTGGAGAAAAGGAGGCTGAGGGGAGACCTTATCACTCTCTACAACTACCTGAAAGGAGGTTGTAGCGAGGTGGGGGTCGGTCTCTTCTCCCAGGTAACAAGCTATAGAATGAGAGGAAATGACTTCAAGTTGCACCAGGGGAGGTTTAGATTGGATATTAGGAAAAACTTCTTCATCAAAAGGGGAGTCAAGCATTGGAACAGGCTGCCCAGGGGCGTGGTGGAGTCACCTTCCCTGATGGATTTTAAAAGACAGGTAGACCAGGTGCTTAGGGACATGGTTTAGAGGTGGAATTGGCAGTGTTAGGTTTATGGCTGGACAAAGTAATCTTAAAGATCTTTTCCAACCACTACAATTCTGTGATTGTGTGAATGCAGCTAATGAGGGTAGTTCATAGTCCGTGGGGTTTCTGTGGGCCAGGATGGATGACATAAAATCTCTGTCTTCCCAGACTGTACCTACATGAGGCATTTGGAGCTGCTCTACAGAGGTCCCATTGCCATCTAGCAATCTCCCTACTTTTAAACGAGAGGAAACTCTTACGGCCAGCAATAAACTTGGACGTAGGTCCCAGACTGTGCCCTTCCTGCCTCCTGCTACACGGATGATCCTTTCACTCAGCAGTACTGTGCCAAAGGCTGGTATCCCGGCTAGCTGGAGAAGAACAGAGATTCAATTAAAAAGTAGCTGAATTTGTGATGCACGTACTTGGTGAATTGACCACTAAGGACAGAGGTGCTGATGGCCAGACTCTCAGAGACCGACCTGGATGAGCCAGAGGTCCAGGTTCATGGATACAAATAATGTTGGATGTGGTAGAAATCCTGGAGAGTAAAACGTGGCCATTAGGGTTGTCATAGAAAGTGCTTCTAAATGTACAGGGCTAGACAGACAGGCAGAATTACAGTGTGTTCTTGAAAAAATGATGTATGGAAAAGGTCTAGATTTATTAGGAAATAGGAAAGCCTTTGAAATAGAGCGAACCTGTACAAGACAGATGGGCTCCATCTAAATTCAAAGAGAGTGAAGCTGCTGGAACGCTAAAATGTCTTAGAAAGTCTGTGGGGTTTGTCAGCCTTCTCCCTCCAACATCTAAAAATAGCATAGCAGATCCAAGAAGAGCAAAGAATGGGAATAAAGATGGAAGACATGGGGCAGCTTCTTTAGGAGGAACAGCTAAGTGTGCTAGGGCTAAACTAAATAGACCAAAAGGTAAATAGAAATTGTTGAGTAGGGATTTGTTTTCTTACTCAAAAAAAGCCAGAGGGCACAAAATGAAATGAGCATATGGTGGTGAAAACTAAACAGCATGTTGCAAAAGCTGGAAGTTTACAGAATTCAGGGAGACAGGTTTAGGGAAAAAGCAAAACACTGAAGGTTTCTCAATGCATAGAAACCACCTCTGGCTAAGGAAGTCCCTGAGCCCTGAATTATTGGAGATTTAAAGAGCAGTAGGATGAGGAGAGGAGGAAAAGGAGGAAAATGTAGACCTATATTATCTTTGTTCTCATATGCTGCCCTGTGCTAACCTGCTTGTGGCCACTACCAGAGACAGGATGCTGGGCTAGATGGACCTTCTGACCCAGGGTGTCTGTTCTAAACTAAACACTGAAAGGGAGACTGAACTCCCAGCCCTGAAGAATTGCTTTGCTTTGGTCGTCATGTGTGCCAGCTCGTTCTGGGGGGTGGTGGAAGCCTTGTGCAGTTTTTATTCAACTAAGGTGTATTTATATTGAGACCCTATTCCGAAGTGTTACCCAGATTTTGCACATTGGTGTTTACTGCAGAAGAATGCAGCCAGCCACAGCCATGCCATAGGGCAGAAGAAAATATTGCAAGCTGAAGTGTCAGTAGAGGATTTAGAATAGGTCAGTAAATCAGATAGTAAACTAGATCAACTGGTAGTATTAATCCAGAAGCTTTACAGGAACTTTCCAATATAAATACTGAATTAGTCTAATTTATAATTCAAGTGAGCCTTGGTGCTTTAAGAATGGCAAGTGACAAGAGCAATGCTAATTTTTTAATTTATTTTTTAAGTTCATGGAGTAATTTTGCAGATTACTGCAGGTAGCAGGTCTGTACTGAGAAGAATAGAACTGGTAGGTTCATGGATAAGCGTATATTAGGGAAGAGCTAGCATGATTTATGTCGTGCATAATTGCCCTTTCAAGTTCTTTGAGGGAGTCAGCAAGCATATGCACAGTCATAATTGTGCACTTGGGTTTTAAAAAGCTCTTGATAAGAGCTCCTCACAAGCTCTAAAATAAATTAACTTTTCATGGCTTGAAAGGGAAGTTCCTCTGAGGGGTGAATAATTGATTAAAAGACAGAAAACGTCAGATAGAACTGAATAGGCAACTTTCATAGTGAAAGGAAACTCCTACTTGGGTTCCCCAGGTATTATTCAACATAGTCATTAAAGGTCTGAAGAAGATTAATACTGATGTGACAAAATTTGATGCTGATTCCTTAGGAAGGTCAAAACTGAAACTTCTAAAAAAAATTGAAAAGGATCTCACACTGTTGATGATTAGGAGATCAAATTGTATCCAAGCTTGATGAGTATAAGGATGTCTGTAGTGGGAAAATAACCTTAACCACACATCAGAGATTGGCTTTGTTAGATGTGGCTGCTCAGGAATGAAGTTGTGTCATCATCATGTCCCCTGAAAACAGCAACTGAAAGTTCATCAGTTTCAGAAGGGCAGTGTGCTGGTGACTTCTGGAGAAGTTGCTGAGAACAAAACAGAAAGAAAGCATCATCAAGCTTTGTGTGAGCTTACGTTTGGATACTTTGTAAATTGCAGGTTATCCCATTTCTAAAGGTGTACAGTGGAATTAGATAAGGACAAAGAAAGATTGAGAGGAAATATGGATATTACTGAACAGTTCCCACGCAGAGCATGGAGAGTTCACCTCTTAAACCTGGGGCACGATAGCTTGGAGAGAGGTGAAAAGGAGGAAATACAATAGTCTGTAGAATTATGAATGGCGTAGAGACGGTGAAATGTGAATTCAGTTGCCTCCATGGTACAAGCATTGAGGCATCTTTTAGCTTTTCCATCTGTAACAAGTAGCCAAGTCAAAGAACCCGTGCTTGGCGAGGCAGATGTTTTAATCCGACCCATATAACACACCGTGTAGTTGTCCTCAGTTGAAACTGAGTTACCTACCTGAGGTTAGTCCCAGGTCTTAAAGTGCTAATTCTTAATCGTCAAACCGACTTGAGTTGAGTCAGCCCCCGATTCTTGCGTGTACATTGATAAAATGTATTATTGCAGATTCCTTCCCCTTGGCATGCTGTAACCTGCGACTCAGCACGCAGGGCAGAAGCAAAGCTCCAAAGTATCCCAAGTGTTTTAACAGCATCCTTTGTTTGGGCAAAACCCACAACTCAGCAATCTGCAGTTACTGAAGGCAAAACACCCAAAAAGTGTGAAACGTCGTAAATGTCTGTTTAGTCAACCTGGTTTAAAGTTGGGGATTTTTAGTAATCATAGAACAGCTGGAGGTTTAAAAAAAGGAAAAGGTCATTCTGTGTGAAAGTATTTTAGAAATAATAATAGTGTTAATCTTTTACTCAGCTACACTGCACTTCAGCACTAGATTGCAAAGCTTTTCTTTCAATTTTTAGACTAAAACTCTGTTCAGGATCTGACACATTTGGTGATAATTTTATATCGTGAATAAAAGTATTCTAGAGACTGCAGAGGCCGTTTTAATGCAAAATCTTGATACAACACTGCAACATAACTACTAGAATGTTTTAGACTTCATTTTATCTACTTGTCCAAATGCTTTTAGCTTTCAATCTTACTAGATAAAATTTTTCTCACCCACTTGTTTCTATTACTTTACTGTTGTGGGCAAAGTTTCTGACTATAGTAGCTGTCAGCTGGACCTTCTCACATAGCATCTTCCTATCAATTTAGACTTCTGTTCTGTGGGGTTTTAAAATTTTATTATATATTTTCTTGTATGTGTTAAAAATAGTGAGGAAGTCGTAAAATGGATGGCTTGAATTTCTTATCATGAACTGATTCTTCTTCTTTTAAAGCCCTGTTACTACCAAACAAAACTAAAGCAATAAAACCAGGATCACATTAATGTGCAATGTTTTCTGAAAGTACTTTTGGATAGGAAGCTCACTGAGATGAGCCAGACTCTGTCTTCCTGACATGTACAATTCAGTGCATGCTCTCAGCACTTACCTGTGAAAGATGTGAGACCAAGTTTGAAGGCTGTAAGTTGTTGCCTAATTGGAACTTAGCTGGAAGAAGGTACTGACATGAACCCAGTAACTTTTCAATTGTATTTCTAAATTAATCACATAAAACTTCTGAAGTTAATGTTTTGTTCTGCTTTCTCCCATACTTTGAACTTCTTCACAGAGGACAGTGAACTAAGGAGAACCCTGCAGTCTTTAGCTTGTGGAAAAGCACGAGTATTGATTAAAAATCCAAAGGGCAAGGATGTAGAAGATGGAGATAAATTCATCTTTAATGGTGATTTCAAGCATAAATTGTTTAGAATAAAGATCAACCAAATCCAAATGAAAGAAACAGTATGTATTTATTTTTTGCATTCATTCTGGTTATGTAAACTGTTTATCTGCATGTCCCATATGGAGAGAGAATCTCTGCGTTTCCTCTGGTCGTTTTTGCATGTGGAGAAACGAAACAGATATTTAATGTTTTTGGTAGTCAGGATGACTTGCAGGGGCAGTAAGGACTTTAAAACTCACTGGAATTGAAACAACTTGGGTTTCTTCCTGTGCTTGCAAATGTAAATGCCTATATATTAAACTGATCGGATCTTGTAGATGTTTCAGACCCTTTTAGAACTTTTCATGGTGTGGCTGAAGTTTTGGTATTATATTGAACTCATGAATCAAATGTCACCATGTCACTTCTTTTCTTTATTTAGCGGGTAAGAGAGTTATCAAAGTCAGCATTGCCCCTGTTTCTGCAGAGGATATCTTTGTTGTACTTGAATCCCAATTCTTGACACAAAGTGTCGTGTTTCAGTTAACATTAAGTTGTTTCCTTTTTACCTTTGCATATTAAAATCCCTTAAAGTCAAATTGGAGTTGAGCAGGTTGATACAGAAGACAGCTGTATTTGGGCTGTCAGAGTGTTATGTGTTCTGTCAGAAATCTGAAGTGAGTTTTTAAGATTTAGTTTAATTTCTCAAATAGATTTAAAATCAGATGTATGTTATTTTTTTCTTTATATTATCTTTAATTTTATCTTTGGCTTGCTTTACAAGTACACTTCAGAATCACTTAGTTCTTAGCATGTGGGGAATGCATGCATCTCTCTTAGTATGCGTCTGTCTCAAAGGTGAATAAGAAAACATGAGTTTTGTTTCAGCTGAAAGGTTATAGAAATATAATTTATTAAAAAAATAGCAATAAAAGGTGATATGATTTGTGGTGTCGTATTGTTCTTTAGGTCGAGGAACAGGTCAGCACAACTGAAAGAGTATTTCAAGACAGGCAGTATCAGATTGATGCTGCTATTGTACGAATAATGAAGATGAGAAAGACTCTTGGTCATAATCTCCTTGTTTCGGAATTGTATAATCAACTGAAATTTCCTGTAAAGGTAAGTGATTTTGTTTTTCAAACTATCCTAGGATTATCTAAAAATATGTAATACATTTTTCCATTCAGCTTGTCCACATGAGAGTAAGAAATGTGAAATATGTCTGAATCAAATCCAAAGATTAAGGTATTAAAATGAGTGTGTCAACAGAAATGAGCCAGAGTATGAGTAGGAAATTATATTTAGATATTTACCATGGCACATTTTTTTTTATGTAGCTGTTAGCAGCTACATTTTTTTAAATAAAATATATTTGCATTTATATTGCTAACAGTTTTACTAATCTCATCTTTCCTTGTAGCCTGGAGACTTGAAAAAGAGGATTGAATCTCTCATTGACAGAGACTATATGGAGAGAGACAAAGACAACCCCAATCAGTACCACTATGTTGCGTAATGGAGAGGAAATACTTTTACTTTAAAACAAAACCCAACAAATCAAAACCAAAATCATCCACATGTATCTTCAGGACACCGAATACCTATGCTGTTCCAGACTTTCCTTTTAGCAGATTTCAGGTTGATGTATATTATTCAACCAGCTGCATGCACTGCTGTGGAAGAGAAGCAAAATGACATGTTAGTTGATCATCCTTGTCAAGACTCCTTACAAATTTTAAATGTCATGTTTTTATTTCTTTTAGTTACTCTTTTGTTCTTTTTGGTTCTTAAAAATTTAGTTTTACAGTTTTGTTTAAGACTGTCATTGAAGTTCGATGGAAGGGTAAAATTAACCTGTGTGAGAAATACTTCTGTGATGGATGCAAGTCTGGTTTCTTCTTTTATGTGCTCCTAACTGCATCCGTAAAGACCCTATATGCTGCATTCTTTAGCTACAGTGACAACTTGGGTAACTTTTTTAAAACCCTTAATTGATGAACACTTACGTACAAGCAGTGTTGTTGAAATACACTGAATTTTTGAAATCATGAACCATGAAAACCCTTAAACTTGTGTTCAGTTAATTTGCTTTCAAATTATTATAAACTTCAGTCTGATTTGGATAAATCAGGTTTTGAAGTAAGATCCTTGAAGTGCCAAGAGGACAAATGCGTTCCTGTGTGTAGTGAGTTGTTGGATTATTTAGCTAAGATATGGATTCTTATTTTATTACTTCTGCTGGCTTGGGTGGCAAAGATTAGATCTGAGTCAAAGAGGCCCTACCTCATTTTAGGGCAGCTGGTGTTTATCACTGTTTATGTAATTGCCGTAACATTTAGTTTTGCCTTGAAAATAACATACGGGGAACCTACTGTACAGCGTGCTCCACTTGAAAACAAAAACAAAAAATGTTTTTTAAAAAGACTTTTATGGTCTTGATATTGTGAAAGCAGTTTTTTGTCTTGAAAGACTAAGGATTTTGTGAGTACTTTGTTACATATTGTATATATGTAAGTTGATTTGAATTAAAGAATGAAAGACACTGTTGATCCGTTAGATAATTGTAACTATAAGGAAGGCACCTTTTGTGATAGTAATTACAAGACAATGTATTTTCCAGATTTGCATACTGGTGTGTTTCATTCTGAAAAAGAGCTACCAAAGGAGTTTTGATCATGGCATAAATGAGAATTTAACTGAGCAATATTTTCTTGAAAGATACTTTAATAAGTTTATGTAACATGGGTTTTGTGCATCAATGAAAAGGCCACCACGTCTTCTTAAAGTAAACATTGCTAAGAGTTGACATCTCCTGGATTTACATATTAAAGTCCTTGTACTGTCATCTGGTGTCATTAATTGTATTTCATTCTGAATTATTTTTGTTCCCTTTGTGTTTAGAAACTAAACATGTTTAGTTTATTGTATTTAAAACATATTTAAAATTGTAATTTAATGTAGACTTATTTTAATATTTGAATCTTCAGTTAATGCAAATAAAATCTTTGATGCATATTAAATATTAATTTCTTAGCCTTTGTAAGAATGTGGCACTTCAGTTTATTTGTGCAGTTTGTTCTTGAGAGTTAAGTATACCATCCGCCTTGTAATTCACTTTCTATGCATAGGGTTAATTCACATCTATGCATCAGATCCAGCTTACTAGACTCTTAAACCAAAAAGGAGTGTGCCTGACAGAAACGTGATGGCCAGGGGCTTTATCCACACAGCAGGCTGGCAGTAGCTGGCAGTAACTGATACCACGCAGTGAATGCCTACTGCCTGCCCTTGCTGAACCCACACCTCCTGGTTCAATGGTTTTAAACAACAGATTAAGAGCAGCGGTGTTACCCTGAAGATGATTGAAACGGTTCTGCCTCACAAAGTGATGTTAATTGATTAAAAGTGCTGAGATGTGCAGTTTTTCTTAATTGCCATAGACTAGAACTCTTTGGCCAGATTACTCTGGTGTAGCAATTAAAAATGAGTTGTTCCATGAGCAGTGGCAATAATGAAGCCTGTCTTTCTGTGATGCATGACCTACTGTATCACCCCCCCCACCCCCCCAACTAACCTCAAGCAGCAGTACTGCAGAGGGCTTTTTCTGCGTAGTTCTGTCTTTCTGCTTGTGGGAGCATGGCTGTTGTTCTCCTTTATCCAGCTGCTGATCTCCACCCATCCCCTTACCCTCCAAACCTACAGAGAATGTCATGATCTAAAGCTTTTTACTCTTCCAAATGGGTCTGAAAGTGGCTTCAGAGCATCAAAAGCTATGGGTAGAGATCGACAGGCCAGGTGATTGTGACTCTCTTTTTCTCAGGTCCTCATTTTTAATTTTATTTCCTCAAATTTATCTTCCTGGGATTTTGTTATGTGCTGAACCAAACAGGTAAGCAGTCAGTTTATTAGTCAGCATGGTAATCACTTCTTCCTAACAAAATAGCTGCATTTGATTGCTTTTTGATAGCTGGTGATAGAATTTGGCTGAGCATGCAGTCTCAGCCAGCTGTTGGTTTGATGGCAGCTATTTGGTTCACATCACCCCCCTGAGTGTATTTGTGCCCACAGGGCAGAGCTTGCTAAAAATTTCTTCATGGAAGATCAACCAGTGTTGAAGACAATGGGCTGTAGCAAAGCGGCAGATGTCCTCTGTAGCACATCTATGCTCAGAAGATGACTTGAACACCTGGATCTTGGCAATTCAGCATCCTGGGCACAAACTGCATAGCAGCTTTTATGGAATGACAAAAATAACAGCAGGAACCTGGGATACGGGTAGGGGCTCTCCAGTCTTACCAAAACCTTCACATTTAACTCAGTTTATCTTAGACAGTCAGATACCTCACCCAGCCATGTCTTACATGTACTTAAAACGTGAGTTTCCTAAATGTGACGCCCCATCATCTAGCCCAACACTTCCTGAGGGAAAGCAAGTGTGAGAACGCAGGCTGACGGGCGACTTGCAGGTGCTTCCCATGTCTGGCCATGACAGCTCTCCTTACCAGCCACCAGCGCCTCCCTTCTGCCCACTCTTGGTGTTCTGTTTGCTTCTGCATTTCCGATTCCCCTGTATTCCTTTATCTGAACCTGGGTTTACAATTCAACTCCCCCGGTCTGCTGCAGCCTCTTTCTTCCTTTCTTTGTGCTATGTACAGCTTTGAAAAAAAGATAATGCACCTTTCAGGAAACTTCAGTGCATTGATTTGTGAGGCAGACAGACCTATTTGTAGGTTTATGATCTTTGGCAGGTGTGTTAGGGAGAGTGGACTCTGTCCTGTAACCTTGGTTATCTCTTCCTAGCAAGTCTCTTCAGAAAGAAAATAACCCACTGAGGTCAGATAATATGCAGCAAAAGGCTACAGGAAAAATGGAGTCATGTTTCCTGAAAGGTCTTCCCTGGTAAAAATCCCCAGCCTGTGCCCTGTCTCCCATGCTAGTACTCTGCCTTGCCTTTGCAGAACGGTTTGTGTTGTAGCAACAGCTCCCACACCTTCTGGGTGTTCCCCGTGTTCTTTCCCCTAAGCAGCCGTTCTGCACCCCTGGCTCCTCAGGGCCCGAGGGGTGCCGCGGTTAATCCAGAACTGTGTGCGGGTGGGTCGGACAGCACACAGAATCACAGAGTCACAGAATGTCAGGGATTGGAAGGGACCTCAAAAGATCATCCCGTCCAACCCCCTGCCAGAGCAGGAACCTAAATGAGATCACACAGGCAGCTCTGTCAGACAAAACGCAGAGGGGCTGGGTATGGGCTACGCTTCCCCCAGTGACGGCCCTAACTCGGATCTCGGGGCTGTCTATATATCAGCTTTTACAGAAGCTGTAGCTTCATGTTTGTTTATGTCTTACCCCGCTATCAGGTTTGATTGATGTTGGCCGACAGCCAACGTGGTTGCGTAAGACTTGTTCCATTAGGAAAACAGGCTCACAAACACCCTGGTAATACTTCTACTGACAATGACACAGAAACTGTTTATTGAGCAGTCTCTACATTGCTATAAAAGGCTTAGTGAGCTAATGACCCACAGCATGCAAGATCAACATCGTCCTCTGCTGATAGCCTTACATCCTTTGTGTACCAATTTCTTGCCAAAGTATTGCTGCTTGATGCAAGTTATATATTGATATTAGCAGGTAGTTATCAAAGCATCTGTCATTTTTCAGTTCACAGATGCCTACCAGTTTCCCAGTAGAGAGGCAGACTAGTACTGCACAGCAAGGTTCAGCCTGACATTGGGCCAATACTATCTTGTTTTGTGGCAGACTTTCCTCCACTCCCAGTGCAGGTCCCAAAAACAGCAATCAAAAAACGTGAACAACCAATGTCCCACCTCCATGAACCTCAACTCCTCTACAGATGACTCATTCAGACACTTGACCAGAGCGGTTTCTTATGTCCCTTTTCAAGCTGACTAACTTCTGCTTTTGGCAATGCATGGCAAGAATAAAGATTGCTAGAAATGCTGCAGGAAAAAGCAAACAACCTAAAATGAAACGTTTCTGTCTTTAAGAACGCACAGATGAAAGTGCAACATTAAGAAAGCAATGTATGTTCGTAGCAATAGCATTGAAAAAGAAAGACAGATCCCCAAGCCACCCTGAAGAGCAACTAAACTTCTCTAGGATGTTTTTGGGAAACAGGAAGTGTAAGTGAACCGAGACAAACACCAGGGAATGCTCATCGAGAGTAGCTGGACTTGACTTTAGCAGCTGGTAGTAGCTAATTTGCATTTAAAATTGGTTCTAAGTAAAAATGTATGAAGGCAGTTTGGGAGCATAAATGATTCTATCTCATAGCTGACTAATCTGGAGTACACTGTAATGAGACGGATGACATGGCAGTTGTTTTGAGAAAGCAGAATCACCCTGCACATATTCTGGTAGTACTAGAAACAAGATTTCAGCAGCAAAGTAAGTACTTCTGAGGTCTCGGATGAAGAAAGCGTCCGCTTAACAGCTTAGATAAGAAAGAGCCTTGAGTTACAAAGAGATCAAATGGCCTGGGCTCCCCGTCTCCAT